GCAGCTACTGAGTTTATCCAGGTGAATGAGACCTTGTTTAGTTTAGGGCAAATTGGGCCTTTGTTTGGTGGTAAATGGTAAAAGATATCTCTTGACTTTTCTATTATGAGAAGAAAACTGGCTTAAATATCAGGGTTTAAAAAAAAAAATTTTGCCATATTTTTTTTTTTTATTACCATGACCCACCATCAAAAAAACAAAACAAAATAAATTTTCCTTCTCTTGATATTTACAGCGATACCACATATGTGTGCATTATTTTAAAAAAATGCCTTCTTTATTCACATATAAGCATATTAAAACAGCATATAAAACACATACCGTAAATGTATGGTTTGATGATGCTGGTTCTAACATGTAACAAACTTGTTATCACCCTTAAATATCCAACTCCACTATACAGAAATAATGATGTGTATCAAACCATTCTTCATGTGTATACAACGTATTATACAAGAAAGAAGAACCAAAGTGATCTTTGGATAAATTGTTCTCTGCACATTTTCACGGAGATTGCTCCACTTTATCAGGAGTATCTAGACTGGAGTGTCAAAAAATATTATGAATACATTATAATGCATCCAACATATACATACTGTATATGTGAACAACTGTAGAGAATGTTGGATGCATGATATTGTATTCATTATATCCTGTTTGGATACGGGTGAGGGCATATGAGTCCATGTTTTTGTTTTTTAACTTTCCACACCAAAGCGCTCACACTGATCAATATCAACGAAGAGAAAACCCATTACCATGCTACCCAAGGCACAGACCTCCAACTGTCTTGTGATTAATACAGCTATGCCTCAACGTAAGCAAAGGTTACTTTCTGTAGCACTTATATAAGCTGAATTTAGCTTAAAGTGACATTAAAGTCAAAAATCTTTTTCACCCCAATGTTAATGTCAGCACTTACCTTAAATGATGTTTCTTCTTCCTTCCTGTCCTTTTCATCTGTCCCTCCAGTGGTGCGGCGGGTCTCTGATCCAGCGCTGACTCCTCTGTCCTTGCTGGCACTTCCTGTCCCACGGTGTCTGCATGCGGGTGCACGCGTCCATATACTTACCTTTTGTCTCTCCTCGCGTCCCGGCCGAAAATGTGAACTGCGCATGCGCCCGCCCCAAGATGCTTTGCGGCCGCCCGAGAATTTTCACATTTTCGGACGGGAGTGCGAGGGGAACACACAGGTAAGTATTAACCCTTTTCAAAGCGTTTTTTCCCACACTTTTTGCATACACCTACTGCTTGCTAGCAGTAGATATATGCAAAAAAAAACAGAGGGTTTAATAACCCTTTAAGTTGGAATTGCTCATCTGTTCTTGGTCAACCAGCTGAGCTGAAAATAGTAACTTAGCGTCACATGTGCAGTAACATGAGTGATTTGCTGCCAAGTTAGTGGTTTAGCATGGCTCCGGGTGCAGAGAGTCCAGAGAGAACATGGAAAATGTCAACATGTTACTGGTGCTTGAGTGCTGCCAATCTTTTACATCCCTGTAAATATGTAACCCTAAGATTATATAACCCACTGATGCCTTAGTGGCATAGAGACATCTACTGTAAAGCTGGTCATACAGCGTACAATCTTACTGTACAATCTTTACTATCATTTCGATATGTATCCAGTCAGGCAGCAGGCCCCTGCACAGAATAGTTGTTGGTAGATCTAAAGGACATTGCATAATTAGCTGCAATATAGAGAAAGGTTATTGATGTCGTGTATATGGTATTCTCCTTAGTAGGTAGGGGCCTGAAAAAAATGACTTAAAAAGAAAAATATATATACATATATATATATGGGTGCTGCAGGCTGCTTTCATTTTGACAGAGTGAATTGGAGTGGGCCGTAAACGTGAATCCTTAAGTTTATGTATACAGTATAGAATCATTCGGCTTGACTCGTTATTACGGTAGTATACTGGATGCCATAGTCGGCTTGGCAAGACAGAAATGTGCATCAAGCCCTAGCTCTGGATGTTTGTGGGTGTCATGTATTCCCAAGATGTGATTATAAAACTATAAAGATGTTTTTTAAAAGATCTTGAGAGGGACACGATTGAGAGTCAGACATTGTAACAGCTCAGACAGCATAATAAAAGATGCTCATAATAAGTCCATGTGAAGGAGATTGTGATGACTGGGACAGAGAGAGCGGAGAGGAGTGACCTGGAGTCCCCAGAGAGCAGAGCAGATGAGGCTAGGAGGTGTCTGCTCCACACAGTGACAGTGATAGAACGACACATGCTGGTGTCTGTCTCCGCACTGATGCTTTCTCTGGAATTTATTCCTAATTATCTGTAATGGTAGTCTGAAAGGTTTCCATTTCTCTTTCTGGATTTACTGCATACAAATATCTCTAAGATTCATTGTGCATACTAATGACAGCCAAGTCCATAATTCCTTGTCAACTGACATCAGGACACCCACACGCAAAATTTACACAACTAATACCATTTAATAAGCTACTGTGCCTTTAAATATGTTTTGCAATACAGTAGCAGAGCTCATTTTGATTAATAATATAGTGTGCACTTGGATCCAGAGGACAGACAGTGATCTGTGAAAGCCTGTTTCACATTGTATAATGACCACACTTCTCACAGGTCAAAACAGCTATATAAGAAAAGCCACAAGAAACACAATGTATTACAGCAGTCATCTTGTTCAATCATATTGTTCAATATTTATTTTTTGTTCATTGAGGGACACAGAATTCCTTGGCATTTGGGTTATACTGCTGCCCCCCAGGAGGATTTGGATACTTGCAAACAAAAAACAGTGACCAGCCTGGTATAACCCCTCCTGTCCCTGTATGCTTCAGTGTTTTGCTAATGTTCTAGGAGAATTTGCATCTTTTTGCTGCTGAGAACAAAATTACCTATTTTTTCTTTTAATTTAAGATCATTTGTTTCTATAATAAATACTTTCTATACACACTGCTTGTATTGGTCTCCTATGCAGCTCTCCAGATTGGCATATCCTCCGCAATAGTTTTGGAGCCCGCTGGACTTGACAATTTCAGGCCTACCTGAAAAGGGACTTGTGGTGCTTTTCACACCTGGATACTGTGTTAGTTAGCCTCAGAGCACTTTCCATTCATGGCACATCTTCTGGTGTGAACCATTCTCTGAAAACTCAGTATATGGACTGAGCATCAGAAGCTACTTTATTTATTAGAAACATTGGGTGTCATTATTTTTCTTATATTTGATCCCTATGGAAGGGGTTAACAGTTTCATTCCAGGACCCTTGAACTCAACATCCTGTCATTGTGGGACAAATCCATTCAGGTTTGGGAAATATTGTGGTGATACTCATAGCTCCGGACTGGCCCAAGTGTATGTGGTACTCCAACCGAATCAGACTCCTGGCAGACACTCTGTGGGCTCTTCCAGATCAACCAGATCGTCTGTCCTAAGCACCTATTTACTATCCAGCTTTACAGTCACTGGGTTTAATGACATAAGCATGGCCTCTCAGACTGGGGGATCCCCACAATGTAAAAAGCAGGAAGTAAACTTCCTGCAAAATCTACCATCGCACATTGAAGGCATACTTTTCTTAGTACAAGGAAATAAACTTTCATCCTAGAAAATACTTTGTGAGATAGATCCGACCTTTTTACAATCAGGCCCGAATGAACAACTGGCGTTAAGTACTATTAAGGGTCAGATCTCTGCATGTTCAATCTAGTTCCAAAGACCATTAGCCACTCATTCTTTCATTAAGACTTTCATACAGGGTGTTTCTCATGTGACTCCCCCTGTGTGGCCATCCTTGGGATGTGAAATTTGTTCTTTTCAAAAATCACCTTTTGAACGCTTTAAAGGTAGTGTTCCCCTTTCCACGCTCACTCGCGACATTGTATTCCTTGTTGCCATTACCTCAGCTAGGCATGCTTGGGAATTGCAGCCTTATCCTGTAATATCCCTTTCTAGTCTTGCACAAGGACAAGGCGGTGTTAAGGCTTAAAACCTCCTTCCTTCACAAGATGGTCTTGGCTTTTCACCTTAAACAGAGAATTGTGCTCCTGTTCATTTGTCTGAACCCATTACATCCTTTGTTGTCTGCATGTAGTTTGAACTGTGGCCTTGCAGCCATTGCCCCCATAAGAAAGACTGACTCCAACTTTGTCATCCCTGATGGTAGCTGTAAAGGGGACCCAGCTTCTTGTCCCACCATTTCTTGGTGGCCCATCATTAATGCTTATGATTTCATGTTCCGCCCTTTCCTGCCGAGACACACACTACTAAATCTGTGAGTGCTTCTTGGGCATTAAGCATCAGGCATGTTTTCGAGATTTTCAAGGCTGCCACCTGATCATCCATTCGCATGTTCACAAGTTTTACCAGGTGAAAGTTCAAGCCTCGCCTGATGCCAGCTTTAAATATAAGGTCTATCAGGTGACTCTTTGAGTTGCAGACAGCCTCCAGTTTGTTTACAGTTAATTTGTTAGTGTTTCGTGTGCGGTATTGCCTACCTCTCAGTTGGACCGCTTTTGGATATCCTATATGAAGACTTCATTTAGATACTCAATTTGAATAGAGGGAGGACTTGATATCAAACCTACACTATGATTGGCTATATACCTGTGCCAGATTGTCATCAAAGTAGAACAAAAAATGATCAGTTCATGTGGAGTACATTCTTTCATACTGTATGTTTGTCATGGGTATCAAAAACAGTGATTGATGTGTGTTAGCCTAGGTAAAGTCTACTGAAAACATATATTTGAATGTTCTTATATATATCTCATTTGAGTTTCTATGTCTGCTTATCTTACACAAGTATTCTGGAGAGGTCTCACTTTTCCTATAATTGCATATGAAAAATGCAGCAGGAGGGTAAAACTTCAAGGCTTAGGGGAGGGGGGGGGTGTCATCCCTCAAATGGTACAAGCCAGGGAGTGATTCCACCAACCAGCATCTACCAAAAGCTGAAGTATACATTTTAATCTTTTGGTAAATAACATTTATGTTATTTCTTTTTTTTTCCAGATATAAAAAGACGGACTGACTTAAGCATGGTGAACCTAACCAAGATAGCTTCTAACCCCGGTGCCACCAAAACATCTCCGAAAGAGAAGGATTCATCCGACTCTGGTAGCAGAGTGTGCACTTCCTCGGCTATTGTTGTGGCTTCCTTATTAATTATGTGTCAGTTTATATCACAGCTTTGCAATGCTGCAGCCACTTTGTAAGAACCTGCTCCTAATCCTCCGAAGCCTTATACAAGAGAAGCAAGAAAGTAGCTTTTTAGGACAAAAAAATGAAAAGACAGCATGAGCTGATGCTGAATGACCTTGGATGAGTCAACCCACGGTTTAAATGGGATGACAGGCTGGCAAGCTAGACATACATCTCGGGAACAGTACAGATGGAGGTGACAGATAATAAACAACTCTCACACCTCAAACAACATGAAAACAAAGTCTCAGTTATTAAGCGGATTGGTTGCAGATATGAGATTTACAGTACAGAAGTGAAACTTGGACAAAGTCACCGTGAATAGATGCTCAGAGTCCGATATCTAATCCAATAATGTAGACAAACCTGCCTGGCTGATAAACTAACATGGCAGGGCTAAAGTGATACCATTTCTACTGCTGTGCGTGTCAGACTTATGAGTCTCTTTGCACTTTAGAAGCCATTAAGCAAAGATGAGCTTCACATGTTACAGATACCTCTAGGATTCTCCTCTATGATATTTGTCACTTTTGCTCCCTCTTTTAAAGTCAGCAAATACATGTGTATGTTTGTCATTGTTCTTCTTGTATTGTTTACCTGCCCTATTTTAACATTTTAAAAACAGGTTGATAAAGTTGTTTAAATCACACAAGCCCTTGATGAGCTGCTTTGTCAAAAAAAAGGAGAACGCTGGAAGAGGCAATCTGTAGCCTTTATAAATCTAAAGCCACATTGTGGGCAGGGCTGTGCTCAGAGTTACTTACCGTAGATGTAAACCCAATCACTACAATCTCATGTTTATGTCATTTTCAAAGTTATTTTCAATCTTTTTAGGGGCCCATTCACACCAGAGCGTTGTGCTAATTGCATGTTACCATTAGGGATGGGCCGAGTGTTCGATTCGAACAATAGTTTGAATCAAACCTCGGCAGTTCGAGCGCTCGCCGAACGGCGAACTTTATGGGATGTTCGCGGTTTGTTCGACCGCGGACATTCCATAATACAAAATGCCCACTGAAGCTCTGATTTGTTAAAGTCTTGCACCTGACCATAGGTCAGGTGCAAGACTTTGTCCAATTAGGGCTCAGCGGAGGAGGGGCCTGAAGGAGAAAGTTCTCTATCAGGTCCCCCCATGCTGATTGACAGCAGGCAGTGGGCGGGTGCAATAGCCAGCTTGCTATTGGCTATTGCATTTTACAATATCTAATAGGTGGCTGGGTATGGCTCCCAGCCTGCAATGAAGAGGAGGCAGGGGGGCGGGGCAGAGGTGCCGCGGCCGGTGAGGGGAACGGAGAAGCCGACAGACCAGGGGAAGACAGCTGCAGAGGTACGGGGCAGCGGAGCAATGCAGCGGTCTGTGTCCCCGCTGCCTCCACCAACACAGGCGGAGAGAACAGTGGGGATTTGAAGGGACTCAGGCCGCTGCAGCCACATGTACCGGCAGCTGTATGGGGGTCAAGCATTCGACCCCTATACACTTGCATTGAGTTCGAGTTCGTACTCGAACATTTCGGCGGTTCGAATGTTCGAATACGAACCGTACACGGGGGTGTTCGGCTCATCCCTAGTTACCATGCATTTAGCTTACACTATTGCACAATGCACCTGCAGTACCATGTGCTAGGTGTGTTGCATTGCCAATCACTTCAGTGCCACCCCAGTACACCTCCTGGTGGCCATGCGCTGCGCTGCAATGCACAGCTATTGGGAGTTGCGTTTGGATGCCATTGAAATCAATAGCAACACACCTAGCACATGGAACCATATGCTAGATGTGTTGTGCGAGAGTGTACAATAAATGCTCGGTAATGATCAATTAGCACAATGCTTCAGTGCGAATGTGCCCTAAATCTGCAGCTATCATTTAAATAATACCTGGGGATCGGACTGTTAAGGTCCTTATCCATGCAATGTCTGGGTGACAACACTCTGTCCATGTCTCCCACTTGTGTTTCTGTGTCATCTGTCACATGGGCTCCTAATGGACAATACAAGTGGCTGTGCACAGACATAATCCAATGTTGTTGCCCTCAGAAACCCTCCATGACAAATGCCATGCAGCCTCCGTTGAATGCAGGTATGTAGACAGGAAGTGGCTGCAAAGCAGCTGCAAGAACTCTACAGTGCTGAGATGCAACAAAGGATTGAAAAACATGGAAAAAGCAAATATTAATGATACATTATAGCAAACGTAATGTTACTCACTTAGGTATACTTACATGTACTTTACTTTAGCTATTATCCTACATATTCTGGGCCCATTAACACGTGTGTTGTGGCAACATGTGCTGAAATGCATACGTTGCAACAATTCATGGCAATGTGTCTGCTGTATGAGCGGTGCATTGCGGTGCCTTTCATTATCAATGGTACCCCAATGCATTGTAGACTACAATGAACAACAAAACAAGGTCATGCAGGTTTTTGTCATCTGTTTTCATTCTGGTTTTTTAGAGAGCCCATTCACACTAAAGCAATCCGTTCACTTAACACATGCGTGTTACTCCATAACACATGAGCATTAACACGACGGATTGCATAAGTGTAAATAGGCCCTCAAAAAAAAAAGAATTCTTGGCTTGACATGTTATGCAGCTTTCAGTGGTATAACTTTACTGTATAGCACTCTAATCAAGAACAGAATGGGGATAGATGCATGTTACGGAGAGTCTTGTGATTCCTCTCCCCTAGTGTTTTATTGCTGTTCCATTTTACCCTGCTGACCTATGTTCTGGCCCAAAGGTGTTTTATGGTATATGACGCTAATTGTAAACATGCTGCTTATGAGCCTTAATGCCTCTCTAACAAATTTAACATAGTATTTTGTAAGAAAACCACAGGCAGGCATTGGATGACCGCAGCACAGTCATGTCTGCTGTATAGATAAACATTCTTCAAGCCTGATATACCTCCAGCTAGACATATGAAATACATTGTATACCTTTTTATCTAAATTTTAAAAAACATCAGGTATGATGGCTGAAGCTTATCTGAGCCTGGTCAGTTATTGTTCATTACATATAATGCATATGATGAAAAAACTGCACACAAGGAAATGTTCAAGTCAGTTATATTACTGAATATAATCAACACTTGGGCATACTTGTTAGTCCACATTTCTGCCTATGTACATTGCAGTTAGTGGGATGATGATCCAGATACAGCAAGTATTTGATGCTCGCAAAAAAAAACCCAAACTGTTAGCTCTGGGTTTTTTGCCAGCATCTGACGCAAGCAACATGAAGGTCTCCATTAAATCGGAGGCCTGTTTGTTAATAAATAAATTATGTCAGATGGACAAGGTGAATGTCATGGAAGAGATAACCCAAGTCTTCTTGTCGCTGTTGTCTTGCTCCTTTCTGTGAAAAAGATTTCCCCAAGATCGTGGGGAGTGCCAATGATCTGACAACTAGGGATGGGCAAATCACACATTTTTGGTTTTGCATGGAGATCTGTGTGATGCGCAGAATATCCAGGATCGAGACAATTGTGATTAATAAACAGTAAAATGTACTGCAGATCGGATAAGTCTGTGTATATATATTGAAATTCTCCTTATGTTCAAATCCATTTGCTCATCTTTACTGACAACACAATGCAAGAGAGGAGCTGCTGTCTCATGTTAGGTATTTAAATGGATAAGAAGGGATGTTTTATAGGCACAAGGGCTGTATTTATTTTTCTGGCTGCACTAGGCACATGCAAGCTGTGACACTTTTCTGCTCATGCTCAGATATGATACCTTCCATGTCACATGATTTTTTTACCATTACCTTGTAAAATAATACAATCTAAATACTGGACCATGAACTGCATGTTCAGCACTATCCAAAATAGGACACATTCACCTTACCGGAGTCTAACTTGTTTAGCATTCATTAAACAAGAACTGCAAGGGTTAACTGCTCGTTTTGTTCTTGGGGCTAAAATAAAGAACATATACTCACCCGCTCCTCGGTACACACAGCCTCTTCTCCCCTGGGCTCCAGTGGTCTAAGGACCTGTGACATCATCATGTCTTATACAGCTGTGTTAGATGTGGGGACGCTGAGGGACATTCAACTTCCAGAAACAGAGGTGGAGATAGAGGAAAGCTGACTGCCTCAGGTAACCAACTTATTTTATTACAGGGTATTCTGTGAATGGACGAGTGGAGATTTGGCTGTATATCCACCCCTGCTCTCCCATCATCCAGTCACAAAACATTCAAAAGAATACAAAGCTTTTTGTGAATAGATAGGATGGGTGTACAAACCAAATTTGCCCTCATCCTTTCACAGAATACTTTACATTCTGTGAAAAAAAATACAAATCTTTTTGTGAATAGATGAGGACAGAGCAATGGGATGGAAATATGACAGGAGCCCTTCCCTGTTGTAGCGGCTGCAGCAGCCAGGAAATACGGGGCTCTGCATAGTATCCACTTCAATCAAGGTATGATTTTTACAGTAACCAGCAGTCATCCACACCTAGTATACTCATTATTAGAGCTAACTCTTTGCTGTCCTCCTCAGAAGATAAAACAGAATGTTGCTTTAAATATGATCTCATTTGAGTAGATGTTTCATATATTTTCCAAAGCTGTTGGAAAAAAAAATACCACCTGTGCCTCTATGCACCAATCTACTTCTGCCTAATGATGAGTCAGTCTATAAGAGCTATACTCTATTAGAAATGCTTCCCAGCATTGTCAAGGCATCCTCTGCACCGCCACAGTACACATTGCATAAACTGGGGAGTAAGATATCAGAAGCCTCTTCCTCTACATTTCTACCTGTATTTCCAGCCTTCTTTAGACTATTTATAACTATGGCTCAATAAACAGCATCCTAAAATAGTAAGCAAGCTCCACAGACATGCTAGTATATACCGCATATCTATGACAAAAAAGCATCCAACCTTGAAATGACTTAAAACAAAGCAAGTGATGCAGGTGGGAAAGACAGTGGGAAGTAGTCATTCATATTTTGCATAAAGTCGTCATCCCACAGGAGCTTTTACACTGGTATGCAATTGCCATTAAAGGCAGACAGAACATTGACTACTTCCATTTTTATTTCTGGCTTTATGGAGTTGTGCAGACCTGGTTAGTGTATCTGGAGAAAAGGAGAAGTCATCATTCATATTGATTTCCTGAACTGTATTGTATACATCATGCATCTGCTGGGATTTACTGATAAGAGGAGTAGATCTGTAAGGCCTGTCAATGTACAAAGTCTTTGTATTGTTTATTTAATTAGCTTTATGTTCCATAGTGGATCATGCAGGTAATGGTCCATAAGTTTGATTAGTTTGCCCTTCGCAGATGTACCTGTAGTTTACACTTTAAGGGCCAACTCAGGCCAATTTGTTTTATTTGGTTTTGTGGTGAGAAGTTAGATCAGGGGTAGAGAACCTGGATACTCCAGCTTTTGTGAAACTACAGTACCCATGAGGCATTGCGTGACAGCTATAGGCGGGAGTTTCAGAGGCATGAGGGGATTTGCAATTTTACCACATTTGGAGCCTAGTTCTGAGTTAGACCCTTTGAGTACTTCCAATTTTCTGACAGAAGAAAGAGGAAAACATTTTTGTATAGAATATTTAAGCAACAGACACCCCTTCCTCCCTCAATTA